CAAAATAAAACTAAGATAATTATTGATACTCATCAGTCATCATCATCATCATCATCATGGAACAGTTCATGAAACATTTTGCATATCTCTAGTACAGGATAGGTGAACAAGAGATCAGATGCCATGAATATATTATACAAGTTTGGTTGGATATAATCTGTCCACAGATTATTTGGCACTAAATTACAACACATACAGTTCAAGAAACATTGTTAGTATTGCTGCCTTTTCCTCAGGCCAGATGATGCAGAACCACCAGGCAGAGCTCTTTTCCTGACAGGGATAGGCAGGGTGAGGAAGCTAGTGAGTAACACAGGTCTTAAACTATTTGTATTTTTCACTGCCTAAATGTTTTCTTAGAGTGATAGCATGTTATGTAAACAAACACTTTAAATAAGCCATATAAATGTTTTTTTTAAAATTGCAGCAGTTAAAAAGTACACAAAAAGTAGCAGATAAAAGCATAGCTGAAAGCCAGTGAGATCAAAATACTTAATTAATAGTACTGTAGTATTTCTAACTGAAAAGAGAAGTTTATACTTGGCAGTTAAGAGTCAAGGTCAGTGCCAAAATCAGTTCCTTGGGAGAGAATTCTGTAGCTGGTATGCCTCTGTCAATAATTTCAAATGCAAGAGGGCATGCTTCACATCAGATGGAAGCAAGATTTAGAGGAGGAGGGTTCCTGATGAATTTATTATGCCGGCTGCCGAATCTCATTCCATGCAGCCACCTCGCATATTGCCCTTTGCCTAGCTGAAAAGGAAAGGCAGAAAGGAATTAAAATACAAAGAGACACAACTGAATAGTTTGGGAATGTGAATGGGTGCTTGGGGAATAAGGTATGCCTGAAAGAAAATGGCATGAACCTGGGCACCTTAATTTTCAGGCAGCAGGAAGGAGGTTAAGACAAGAGTTTTAATAACTGCTGCAGGCTCTGTGAAGGTTCAGCACTGCAAAACAGAAGAAAATTGACTGCCCGAAGAAATCATTACAGAAAAACAGCAGCATGATTGGTGGGCTCTAATTTCTAATCATTGTCATAATCCCTATAAGAGCTGCCTGATTGATTTTCTCTGCTTATATAAGCAGCAGGCACCTAAGTTTTACCTCACTCCAGTTTCAAGGCTCTGGGCTCAGCCAAGGTTTTCTTCTCTTACCCCAATTCAATAGGCTCTCACTGTAACCTATTGTAACAATAATCATGACTGCAACTATCAGAAAAAACATCTCCCTGCACAAGTGTAGTATTGTGTCCTCAGCACAACTTTCCACGGGTATTTGTATGGAGGAAGAATTATTTGATTGCCAGGCAACTTCCTCATCAGCTTACATTTTAGCAAAATAGCTAGACAAACAGTTTGTACTGAAAATATTGGGTGGCTGTCTTTGTTTCCCCTTTTGGGGTATAGCAGAGCAAGGGGATTTTTATTACTGCAGGAGCTACCATAGCCCAAGGCATGGGTCACTGAATAATTTACTCTTTTTTTCACTATTAACCATCTGGAAGGACCACAGACTGAGTCATGTTCTCACCTGTTCTTAGCATTCTGTGATTGCCATCGGTAAAGGCAATTGCATGGATTGCTTCAGAAAGGTTTGGATGGATCTAGAAATAGAAACAATGATGTGTGGAAGTGCTTTAACTTACATAAAACAATACCATTTTTACCAAAAGCCCACATGTGGTATGCTGTGCTATAATAGAACAAATTGGAGTGCCCTTGTTCTTTTAAATGTGCCAGACTGCTTCCTCTTTGAAGCAAATGTTGATGACCTTATAGATACAGAATGTCAGCAAATATATTCCAGCTCTTCTGCCTATTCTGTGGTAGAAAACTGATTTAAGTAAGAATGTCTGGTTACGTTTAAAAATGTGCACACCAAAAATATGAAGAGTAGGAATTCTGGACAATGCTGAACAATAAGAACATTTCTTTGAAAACATAAACCTTGGAGGTCTGTATATATCACAAGCTAATTTTCAGATGAAGCAAGTACATATCCAAACATTTATTATTTAGAAAATATTCAAGTTACTAATTCAATAATTGGATATATGTTTATTAGGAAGTCCCACTCAGTTTAGTATGGATAATTTATTTGTAAGAATGCTAAAGAAATACTAGAATGCCTAGAACTTTGTAAGATACTAGAAAATGTGTGACCCGTTGGGTTCATGTTTCAGAGAGATTTCCTTACCTACACAGAGAAACAGAATGACCACAGGCAGGCAAAGAAGCAGTGGGTGTGGGAGTGAATTCTGACTTCCTGCCAGCTTCCCCACTGACTTTCCTTGTGGAAAGCTGGCAGGAAGTGTGATAAATCTGTCTTCCTTCCTTCTTTCCTTCCGTTCCTCACTCCCTCTTTCCTTCCCTCCCACTCTTCCTTCTTCCCTGTTCCTTCCTCCCTCCCTCCCTCTTCTTTCCTTCTTTCCCTCCTTCCTTTCCCCCCTTGCACACCCTCCCCAACCGCATCTCTCACTCCCCAACTGCATCTCTCAGGCACCCCCTCACTCCCTTCCCCACTCAGCTGCCACCTAGCTGCCTGCTGGCCTTAGACTTGCAACTCACAACTTTGCCAAATTTCAATCGCACAGGAATAATGGTCCTGAATTTTGGACGCATTCTGTAAGTTAGCCTGTTTGAGGTACCATGGTTCAAAAATTGTTGCCCTATGACACACCATTTTGCCCAGTTGAAGGTTACAAACAGACAGACACAAGAGTTTTAGTAGTATATAGATAAAAATAAACAAGCTTATATATTTATTTGATTTCTATCCTACTTTTCATTCCAGACCAAAAGGCAGTTCACTCCTCACATTTTTTCCCATAAGACGTCTTTGTGATAGGTTGGATTGAGATTGACTGACCCCCATGTCATGTAGTAAGTCTCCATGCTGACAGGATGGTAGAACCTGGGTCTCCCCATTCCTAGCCCAACAACTTAACTTCTATGCCACACTTAGACATGGGAAAAATTAAAATTGAGTGACATTACATAAAAGACCAGAAAGTGGGGAAAAAAGAAGCAAATTGAAGAGAAGCAGCAAGCAAAAGGACAATAAAATAAAATACTGTAATTTAAAATTAGGATGAAAAACAAAGGATGAAAAAGACCAACAATTAAACTATATTGCTGAAATAAAAAATTGAATGCAGTCTAGAAAGATTGAACCATTAAATTTGGTAGTAAAACAAATATTTTAAATGTTATAAAACTTTTTTTACATTTAAAGAAATACCAAAGGAGAATATTATGCAAAATAGAAGATCACATGCATACTCTTTATTTCCAAACACAAACATAAATCAATTGATCAAGTGACATTTAAAACATGTACATTAAATTTCAAAACTAGCCCAGATTATCACCTATCTGGAAGTCAAATCTGGCTGTTTTATTCCAGTTGTAGCTGTCTTGTGATGAGGTAATATACAATACCATGAATTTATTTCCATAGTGATTCCTATGTATTGACTGTAAGCCCATTAAGCCTTTTAGTTAACACCTGTTTTAATGTTTAGAAATCAAATAAAAGAAGTACAAAGTACAAAGAAAGAAAGTACAAAAAGAATATTTTTTATTAGTTTTATTTTTCAGAGATCACAAGAAATCTTGATATTCTATTAATTAGACTATAGTCCTGATATACAGATACTATAGAACAAAATCTGTGAGGCACTGCAGAATTGCTTTCAAGTAAGGATAATGTTATTTTAAAAATGTTGTTATGGGGGGAAGGGGGAGGAGAAGTAAATACTTTGTACTGTGCTGTACAAATAAGATTGTAACAACATTTATTCCTCAGGCTGGCATCAAACACTGAAAATAAGGGATGAGTCTATACAATGTCTAAAACCCCCCTTTTTAAAATGCCTTTTAAAAATCAACGTCAGGTAGTTTAAAATAATTATTCATATAGGGAGCCCTTTGTACATCAGCCTCATGCATCCTTCATGGAAGCCAGTCATACTGCAAGGGATTCTGGGGCCAGTCAGATACAGCACTAGACTGTTTGCATTGGATCCATTTCCTCCTCAAGCTGAGAAATGAGCCACTCAACGTTTATTTAAGTCGATTGGTAATGGAGCAGTTTCTCACCATTACTGATCTCCATACTACAATAAAAAAAACTGCATTTGATTTTTAAAAAAGGAATTAATGTTGTTATATTGTTTCTAGAAATTAAATAAGCTTCTTCCTTAGTCCTATGACATGAGGCTTCAAAATGCCCAATACAATACATACTTTGCAATGAAAAACCACCTTCTCCAGATACACCAACTGAGGATCATGCAAGTTGTCCTCCGAAATATATGGAGTAAGGCTACTCTAAAGCAAACGTTTTTTGATTGGGAGCTCAGCTGCTTCCGTGTCTATTTGAAGACCTGACTGCGTGCAATAATTTTGCACACTTTATTCCCAGTAAAGACAGCTAGCAAACAAAGTGCAATTTTAGATCCATTTCAACAAGCCCCGCACAACTCTAAATTTACAATTAATGATATCTGGTTAACCATTAAGAAAATCCCTGCAATTTAGTACAATTAATCACGGCTTGGCTTGCGGGGTTCACATCAAGGTCACAATAAGGAGAATTTGCCAGCGCCCGCAGGAGCAACGTAACGTGCAAGGCGCTCCCTGGACTGGCTGCAAGAGGCTGCGCCTTCTGGACAACCCCACGCCCGCTAAGATGGCCGCCCATCCAGCCCTCTGGACTTTGTAGTTCTGAAATGTTCCAGTTCAGGTGACGCGAACGCGCGGGGCTAGAGCTTCCAACCCTGGGGGAGGGTTCCAACCACTTATTTATAAATAAGTTAAATAAATTGAACATACTCCGGCAACATAGGAGGCAAATCGCCTCCTGCAAAGGCAACGAGCAGGCTCGCTCTGACCGCTACCTCATGCCCCGCCCAGCCACGGCGGCAGGCCCCGCCTACTTCCCCTCACGAGGTTTAGCTCCGCCTCTCTCCCTGCTTTCCTCCCCCCGCCCCCCCGGCAACCTCGCTCTCCCTTGGTGGCTGCGCGTCCGGCTCAGACCCCGAGACTGGCTGGGGAAGCAGAGCTCGTAGCCCGGGTCGGTACGGGGGAAGCCGAACGAGGACAAAGGCGGGAGGGTGGCCGCGGCGGCTGCGCTCCCCGCGGGCGCCCTCGAGATGTTCTCGCGGAGGGGTCATGTGGATGTCAAGAAGTCTGCGCAGAAGGCGCTGGACCCGCGAAAGGACCCGCTGACTCGCCTCAAGCACCTTCGGGTTTTGATGGG